AGTAGGAATCCTCTGAGGTCTTGTCTTGTCTTGTGTGATTATTGATGAAAGTCAATAAAAGATAAATACTGCTGGAACTCTGTGTTTTACTTCTGCCACTATAAAGGAGACACCGAATCTTAAATATGAAGAAGTGTAAATATACACAACACCACTTTGAAAAAAAATTACCATTTAGCCCATCCGAATGTAAGGATCTGGAATTTTTTGGATTTTTGTATGAACATTTTTAGATTTACTGTAAGACAGTATATAAGTAAACATTTTCCAGTTTTGGCAAGGGTTTTCCATCCACGTCACAAGCTGTTGAAATTTTTTGATGCTAGGCAAAAAATCGAAATTCCTTATTGTTTTTAGAACAAGATATTCTAGATTTTCTGTATTTTTCAAAAATTTGCAATAATTATTTTGTTTGCCATGAATAAAAACCCAAGTCCATTTTGCATTTTTTCAAGAGCACCTCTTCATTTCCGATTTTTTGAAAAATCATCCAATGCTTGGTTTCCGCTTGTGATATGTTTCTTTATTACCTTGAGATTTTAGAAGACTTCTGTTTATTTGTTTTTTTCATTTTCTGCCTTCAAGCCTGAAGGCAGGATAACGGGACACTAATCTAAGCAGTTCGTGTTAGGTGTCCATGCTTCGTTGCTGGAGTTCTCTCCTTGTTGCACAGGGGTTCATCCCTGATTCCTATATGTTTTATCTTCCAGAAAAAAGTGCTTTAGTTCTAAATTTCGAATCATTGTTCACTTCAATTTTTTAAATTTCAAAAGTATTGATGCATTCCAAATTTTTTCTGATCTTCTTCCCAAGGATAAATATTTTTTTGTGAAGAAGAAAAAACAAATTTGAAATGCATCAGTACTTTTGAAATTTCGAAACAATTTAAATGAATTTAATCTTCTTGTATACAGCAGTGGTAGTATATTATTTTTCAAGTAGGGTTATGGGTATAGCAGTAATGGAAAAATTTTCCATTAGCAATTCTCACCGCAGGAATATTTCGGGAACCTTTCCATCGGAAAAAGTTGCCTTGCCGCAGAAGAGTTTTATGACCGTTTTCATCTGCTCACCTTTTGAGCCCCTTATTATTAATTCGTTCCCCATCTTTCTTATTACGGCAAGAGAAGTGTTGCCCAATCGAGTATAAAAATGAGTAAAAAAAAGGAAATTTTACTTTTTAAAATTTGTTCAGTGAACAGCTAGGACATGTAAAAACGAAGTCCTTATCATAAACAGCAGTGGACGTCTACTATTCGAAGGGTGACATTTTTTTGGGTTATTAAACTTATACAGCTGGTACAGCAGTATTTATAAATTCAGAAGAATTTTGACGACACACTGTCTCAGGCAAAAGAAAGATTTGTGAGAATTCAAAGTGCATCAGCTGATTAACTTGTTTATTTTTTCCCGAGATATTTTTTTGTTTTTTGCTCGAGTCAGTGAAATACATGGTTCATTTTCCACCCTTTTTTTCCTCATGCGGCTGAAGATGAGTAAAATAGAGGAATGTATTTGTACGCGAATCTGCTGTGTTTATTTTATTTTATGGCCTTCGCTTCATTCGGGCACCTTGCAAAGGTAACATATAATCCCTTCGGCTGAAGTATGTTTAAAACCTTGGGGGGAAAAAAACGTAAAATCGTTGTTTCTGACTCTGGCCAGCTTTACTGTGATGAGTAGAGTACTTTTGCAGTCCCGAAAAAGCACAATAATAGCTAAAATATACTTGGAACAAAGCAATTCTGCGATACCGTGAAATCTTACGGACATATATATTTTTTTCAATTTCACATTGAGAATCAAAGGATATTGTCGTTATACTGCTGGGACGGTATAAGCAAGAATGCATCGTAAACGATGATTTGTTGTAATGAGATTCTACTTGTAGTTACGTAGTAGATTCTATAGTTTTCCTTGAGTTAGGTAAGACTTGATGCATTTCGGTCATTCAGTTCGAGCATGAGAAAATCGTTGCATTTTTACTATAGATCCTGAAGGTTATTTCAAAATTCATGATCGAAGTGCGGTGTCTGAATTATTGGCAGAAATTATTTATTTGTATAAGCAGTCTTAGTGCAGAGATATTCCATTAATCAGAGAGATTTTTAAATTCTGTGAAAGTAAGCTCAAAATTCTAATCATCCCTCGAATGTTTCCCGTGCCCCTGGGTTATCACGTGTTTCATTTCCAGTAACCTTGAACACTGCTTGAAAATCACTGCAGAATTTTGGAAAGGTTTTGGTCGTATTTGAATGTAAAAAAAAAAAAAATTACCGGTCGGCGTGGCATTTGTATAGAAACCTTTGTCCTTTTATTTCCGAAGTAGAATATAAACGCGAGTACCAAAAAAAATGTGTATTCAAATTGTTGCTTTAGCCATCATCGTTTCTCGGAATTCTGGTATCACTCGAATATTTTCGCCCTTTCCTCGAAAAGGGAATTTCATGAGAAATGAAGTGCCTCAATTCCTTGTTGGGATCCGTCCGAATTCCGCGTTGACGCTGTCGAAGAAACTCGGCGCTTGGTTGCAGGGTAAAGCGAATTCCGGGTGCGAATTCGAAAAGGGAATTTCATGAGAAATGAAGTGCCTCAATTCCTTGTTGGGATCCGTCCGAATTCCGCGTTGACGCTGTCGAAGAAACTCGGCGCTTGGTTGCAGGGTAAAGCGAATTCCGGGTGCGAACAGGTCAATGTGTCTTGGCTGAACAGGGTCGTGTTGGGGCACAGGAAGCTGAACTGCGCAGTTTCGATGATCTGAAATATAAAGAAGGGGAGAAATATCACGAATCGATGTACATCAAGGGTTTTATTTTCTTTTCTCGTGAAATGTATCCCCGGGAAGTTCATTAGCTCAGAAGTGTGTAATGATTTTCGGTCCTTCGTAATTGGTTCCAGATGCCGCCAAAACCTTCAACTATCTGAGAAATTGCAAGTTTTCTGAAAGTATTGATCAATTTTAAAACGCCAAAAATAATGTATAAAAGTATTGAAATTAACTGATTACATGGACATTCAGGTTGGATTTCCTGAGGAATTTTTGGGGCCGCATCTAATTTTTCGGATTCGTACACAATTTACTGAGAAATGTTTTCTTGGTCTCGCCTAATTTCTTCCCGAATCTCAGAAAGTTTCTTGACTTGAAACTGAAGTTTGGTTCGTTATTACTACTCATTTTTGGGATCACGTGAAGTTTTTGAAATACTGTACTGTATACGACTCCATTGGGATGATGAATTAAAAAGTTGAAAATGAGATTTTCAGGATCTGAATTTTTGGGCTAGGCCACTTTTATAGGAATGAGGCGGACATATTTTTCAACTCATAGAGTTAATTACAACACGAAAGTATCCTACAGTTGAACCGAATCGAATTTTCATTTTCAGGGGTCTTATTGATTGAAATTATCACATATAGCTTCAGCTAGTTTGAGCCTAGAGGGGAACTATTTATTTCCTGACAAGGGTTTTGGACCGATTTTCAAATTTACAGTATACTGTGGTTCCTAGCTTCTAATTAAAAAATTTCAGAAAAATTGGTTCAAAATCCTTGTCAGAAAGGCAATATCGATTAAATTTATATTCAGGTAGCATAATATTTGGCGTATACCCTGAATAATAAACTCTATCTGAATATCTTTGCTGAAATTCCTTATCATTGTGAGGACTCCCAATTTTTCTTCCTTTGAAGCAAGAACTGTAATGGCAAAAATTAAATTTGAAGTTTTTTTCAATTTCTGGGCGAAATTTCCCACGAGAGAAACATTCCTTTGAAGCATTATTCAGCTCTTGTTAATACATTTTTTTTCAACTTCACATTTCCAAGTTATTCTTCTGAAGCAGAGACTCTTGAAAATAAAAGTGACATGTGTGGATGACTGGATCTCGAAGAACCTTTCTTACGCACTGTCTTTTCATGAATGGAACATGAATTATTATTTTTTTTTCTGATGATGGAGTGACGATATGCAAATGATTACCTCAAATGTTCAAGATGACTATAAATGACGTCCAATTTCTTTCAACATCGAAAAGGTTGATTCGAGAATTTTAGTATTGTCATATTCAGATTATACCTGCCACACTCTCCAGGCATGTGAAAACAGTACAATGCAGTACGGTACTGGATTCAATTTACTTTCAAGAAGTCTTGAAAAAATTCGTACACTTGTCGCTTTTGGGCTGAAACAAGCGTTTTTCATTAGACGTTATTGATGCACTCCTGTTTTATTTTTCTTCCAAAATCACGAATAATTTTAAGAATCACTGAGAAAAAAAATCCATTATCCGTTCAAGGAATACTTTAATTTGCTGAAAAGGGTTGTAAGCTGGATATTTTCGTTGAAAAGATTTTCATCGCTTATCAAGGGAAAATAAGGAGCAATTTCTGCAGCCTGGATTAATGTTTTTTTAGCCAAGGCATAATGTATGAACCCTATGTCCATAAGCTGGAATTTTTCGTACTAGACATCGAAAATGTCGTTAGTATTTGGCTGTAATGTACGAATAACCACCCTCATTAATTCAACTGCCACCTATTTCCTAGAGCAATCAACAAAATGATTTTAAAAGCAAAAAAAAAGTATTTTCAGAGGTCACATATAAACAACAAGAACATTTTATTGGAATTGTTAACTGATCCATTGCCTGAATCGAGTGTCTGAATTCGGAGTTACTACATTCAATAATTTGTCCGTTTTCGGTGAGCAACGATTTTGGAAAAATCGAGAATTATATGATGGTGGAGTGGGCAATTCACTAAATGGTGTTAGGCTACGTCAGTTATTTGCTTTCCTAATCTGTAAATTCCAAAGCTAAGTCGAACTTGGTTGAACGTGATTAATTATGTTTTGGTCAACG